GCCACATGTGCTGGGTGCCACACACACACGCCACATGTGCTGGGTGCCACACACACGCTACACGTGCTGGGGGCCACACACACACCCACACACACACATGTGCTGGGGGCCACACACACACTACATGTGCTGGGTGCCACACACACACTACATGTGCTGGGTGCCACACACACACTACATGTGCTGGGTGCCACACACACACTACATGTGCTGGGTGCCAACACATGTGCTGGGTGCCACACACACACTACATGTGCTGGGTGCCACACACACACACACATGTGCTGGGTGCCACACACACAGACATGTGCTGGGTGCCACACACACAGACATGTGCTGGGTGCCACACACACACACATGTGCTGGGTGCCACACACACACACATGTGCTGGGTGCCACACACACACACATGTGCTGGGTGCCACACACACACACATGTGCTGGGTGCCACACACACACACATGTGCTGGGTGCCACACACACAGACATGTGCTGGGGGCCACACACACACGCCACATGTGCTGGGTGCCACACACACGCTACACGTGCTGGGTTAAGAGAAAACCAAGGCCTTGGTCTTGATGGTTTGATAATAAGATGTACTGGCTCTGTGGTGGATGGTGTGACTTAGCAAGACGAGTGGTCCGCGCCAAGTGTAGCTAGGCCACACACACGCCCCCGTCTCTGTGAGGTGTGGCGACACAGATGCGATCACCTCTCTAATGTGCCCTCTAGCGGGGTTTACCTTGACTGGGTGTCGGCCTTGATAGGGTCTTTCTGTTGACAGGGGCCCTCCGTTGACAGGTCTTCTCCGTTGACAGGGTCCCTCCGTTGACAGCTCTTCTCCGTTGACAGGGTCCCTCCGTTGATAGGTCTTCTCCGTTGACAGGTTTTCTCCGTTGACAGGTCTTCTCCGTTGACAGGTTTTCTCCGTTGACAGGTCTTCTCCGTTGACAGGTCTTCTCCGTTGACAGGGTCTCTCCGTTGACAGGTCTTCTCCGTTGACAGGGTCTCTCCGAAGACAGGTCTCCGTTGACATTTCTTTTCTGTTGACATGGTCCCTCCCTTGACAGGTCTTCTCCGTTGACAGGCCCTCTCCATTAACAGGTCTTCTCCGTTGATAGGGGCCCTCCGTTGACAGCTCTTCTCCGTTGACAGGGGCCCCTCCGTTAACAGGGTCTCTCCATTGACAGGTCTTCTCCGTTTACAGGATCTCTCCGTTGACAGGTCTTCTCCGTTGACAGGTCTTCTTCATTGACAGGGTCTTCTCCGTTGACAGGCCCTCTCCATTAACAGGTCTTCTCCGTTGATTGGGGCCCTCCGTTGACAGCTCTTCTCCGTTGACAGGGGCCTCTCCGTTAACAGGGTCTCTCCGTTGACAGGTCTTCTCCGTTTACAGGATCTCTCCGTTGACAGGTCTTCTCCGTTGACAGGGTCCCTACATTGACAGCTCTTCTCCGTTGACAGGACTTCTCCGTTGACATGTCTTTTCCGTTGACAGGTCTTCTCCATTGACAGGTCTTCTCCGTTGACAGGTCTTCTCCGTTGACAGGTTTTCTCCATTGACAGGTCTTCTCCGTTGACAGGTCTTCTCCGTTGACAGGTCTTCTCCGTTGACAGGCCCTCTCCATTAACAGGTCTTCTCCGTTGATTGGGGCCCTCCGTTGACAGCTCTTCTCCGTTGACAGGGGCCTCTCCGTTAACAGGGTCTCTCCGTTGACAGGTCTTCTCCGTTTACAGGATCTCTCCGTTGACAGGTCTTCTCCGTTGACAGGGTCCCTACATTGACAGCTCTTCTCCGTTGACAGGACTTCTCCGTTGACATGTCTTTTCCGTTGACAGGTCTTCTCCATTGACAGGTCTTCTCCGTTGACAGGTCTTCTCCGTTGACAGGTTTTCTCCGTTGACAGGTCTTCTCCGTTGACAGGCCTTCTCCGTTGACAGGTCTTCTCCGTTGACAGGTCTTCTCCGTTGACAGGTCTTCTCCGTTGACAGGTCTTCTCCGTTGACAGGGTCTCTCCGTTGACAGATCTTTTCTGTTGACAGGTCTTCTCCGTTGACAGGCCCTCTCCGTTAACAGGTCTTCTCCGTTGATAGGGGCCCTCCGTTGACAGCTCTTCTCCGTTGACAGGGGCCCCTCCGTTAACAGGGTCTCTCCGTTGACAGGTCTTCTCCGTTTACAGGATCTCTCCGTTGACAGGGTCTCTCCGTTGACAGGTCTTCTCCGTTGACAGGTCTTCTCCGTTGACAGGTCTTCTCCGTTGACAGGGTCCCTCCGTTGACAGGTCTTCTCCGTTGACAGGGTTTCTCCGTTGATAGGTCTCCGTTGACAGGTCTTTTCTGTTGACATGGTCCCTCCCTTGACAGGTCTCCTCCGATGACAGGCCCTCTCCGTTAACAGGTCTTCTCCGTTGACAGGTCTTCTCCGTTGACAGGTCTTCTCCGTTGACAGGGTCCCTCCATTGACAGCTCTTCTCCGTTGACAGGTCTTCTCCGTTGACATGTCTTCTCCGTTGACATGTCTTCTCCGCTGACATGTCTTCTCCATTGACAGGTCTTCTCCGTTGACAGGTCTTCTCCGTTGACAGATTCTTCTCCGTTGACAGGGTCTTCTCCGTTGACAGGGTCTTCTCCGTTGACAGGTCTTCTCCGTTGATAGGTCTTCTCCGTTGACAGGGTCCCTCCGTTGACAGGTCTTCTCCGTTGACAGGTCTTCTCCGTTGACAGGTCTTCTCCGTTGACAAGTCTTCTCCGTTGACAGGGTCTCTCCGTTGACAGGTCTTTTCTGTTGACATGGTCCCTCCCTTGACAGGTTTTCTCCGTTGACAGGCCCTCTCCGTTAACAGGAGTTAACAGGCCCCGTTGATAGGGGCCCCTCCGTTGACAGCTCTTCTCCGTTGACAGGGGCCCCTCCGTTAACAGGGTCTCTCCGTTGACAGGTCTTCTCCGTTTACAGGATCTCTCCGTTGACCGGTCTCCGTTGACAGGTCTTTTCTGTTGACATGGTCCCTCCCTTGACAGGTCTTCTCCGTTAACAGGTCTTCTCCGTTGACAGGGTCCCTCCGTTGACAGGACTTCTCCGTTGACAGGTCTTCTCCGTTAACAGGGAGTCCCTCCGTTAACAGGGTCTCTCCGTTGACAGGGGCCCTCCGTTGACAGGTCTTCTCCGTTGACAGGGAGTCCCTCCGTTAACAGGGTCTCTCCGTTGACAGGTCTTCTCCGTTGACAGATCCTCTCCGTTGACAGGTCTTCTCCATTGACAGGGTCTCACCGAGGACAGGTCTTCTCCGTTGACAGGGTCCCTCCGTTGACAGGTTTTCTCCTTTAACAGGCAATCTCCATTGACAGGGGCCCTCCGTTGACAGGGGCCCTCGGTTGACAGGGGCCCTCCGTTGACAGGGTATCTCCGTTGACAGGGGCCCTCCGTTGACAGGGTATCTCCGTTGACAGGGGCCCTCCGTTGACAGGAGCCCTCCGTTGACAGGCCTTCTACGTTGACAGGGTCTCTCCGTTGACAGGTCTCCGTTGAAAGGTCTTTTTTGTTGACATGGTCCCTCCCTTGACAGGTCTTTTCTGTTGACATGGTCCCTCCCTTGACAAGTCTTTTCTGTTGACATGGTCCCTCTCTTGACAGGTCATCTCCATTGACAGGTCTTCTCCGTTGACAGGTCTTCTCCGTTAACAGGGTATCTCCGTTGACAGGGTATCTCCGTTGACAGGGTATCTCCGTTGACAGGGACCCTCCGTTGACAGGGTATCTCCGTTGACAGGATCCCTCCTTTGACAGGTCTTCTCCGTTGGCAGGATACCTCCGTTGACAGGTCTTCTCCGTTGGCAGGATACCTCCGTTGACAGGTCTTCTCCGTTGGCAGGATACCTCCGTTGACAGGTCTTCTCCGTTGGCAGGATACCTCCGTTGACAAGTCTTCTCCGTTGACAGGGTCCCTCCGTTGACAGGGTCCCTCCGTTGACAGGGTCCCTCCGTTGACAGGGTCCCTCCGTTGACAGGTCTTCAAGGTCCGGGTTTAAGGAGTTTTATTTGTAAAAGTGTTTGTGTGTTTTTGTTGTTGTTCTTGCTGTAAGTTTGCTCTTGCTGCAGAGTGTTGTCCTGGCTTGTTTATGGAGACAAGTTTGTTATAGCTAATTCTGTAATTTACGGATTAATGCAGGCAAGGATTAATGCAGGCAGGGATTAATGCAGGCAAGGATTAATGCAGGCAGGGATTAATGCAGGCAGGGATTAATGCAGGCAAGGATTAATGCAGGCAGGGATTAATGCAGGCAATGATTAATGCAGGCAGGGATTAATGCAGGCAGGGATTAATGCAGGCAGGGATTAATGCAGGCAGGGATTAATGCAGGCAAGGATTAATGCAGGCAGGGATTAATGCAGGCAGGGATTAATGCAGGCAAGGATTAATGCAGGCAGGGATTAATGCAGGCAGGGATTAATGCAGGCAAGGATTAATGCAGGCAGGGATTAATGCATGCAATGATTAATGCAGGCAGGGATTAATGCAGGCAGGGATTAATGCAGGCAAGGATTAATGCAGGCAGGGATTAATGCAGGCAAGGATTAATGCAGGCAGGGATTAATGCAGGCAGGGATTAATGCAGGCAAGGATTAATGCAGGCAATGACTAATGCAGGCAGGGATTAATGCAGGCAGGGATTAATGCAGGCAAGGATTAATGCAGGCAAGGATTAATGCAGGCAAAGATTAATGCAGGCAGGGATTAATGCAGGCAGTGATCAATGCAGGCAAGGATTAATGCAGGCAAGGATTAATGCAAGCAAGGATTAATGCAGGCAAGGATTAATGCAAGCAAGGATTAATGCAGGCAAAGATTAATGCAGGCAAGGATTAATGCAAACAAGGATTAATGCAGGCAAGGATTAATGCAGGCAGGGATTAATGCAGGCAAGGATTAATGCAGGCAAAGATTAATGCAGGCAGGGATTAATGCAGGCAGTGATCAATGCAGGCAAGGATTAATGCA